ACACACACACACACACACACACACACACACACACAGTTACCGGAGCTTTGTGTGGGAATTAACACACAAAATGATTCTCTTAAAAAAAAATGTTTTTAGGCCCAGGAGGCGGGGTTTATGACCTGTACTGCAGCCAGCCACCAGGGGGCGATCTGGACACCATGGCCTCACTTTTAGGGCATGTTTTTATTTACAGTCTTTGGCAGCGTGGTGTGTTCCTGTTTTCCTCCATTGTCTCGGCTTCGTCCTCGTGCCAGTGATTATATTAGAGACGTGCGAGAGAGAGTTTCCAGAGCGCTGACCTGGGAACACACAAGCCCCGCCCACATTCACACATGTGCACTCTTTTTCACGTGCGGCACCGAGACGTCGCACGCGCTCCAATTCTGAACCGCACATGTACACGCTTCACACGGAATCATGGCTCAAAATAACAAGCGTGTCCCACATAGAGAGTTCAGTCCAAACCGAGCGTGGCAGTTTCCTCCCACGTGTTTCGGCTCCTCGCTCAGTTTCATACAACTTTTTATTTATTTATATAAATAAATAAAGGTCATATACGTTTTTTTAATACTAGAAAAAGGTTAATTGGGAATTCAGCTGCTTTAAAACACATATGTGAGTAGAAGAGAAGCTTTAATGGATAAAGGACTGAAACCAACTCTTGTAGTTTTCATCCACGTCCTGAATGTTTCCCATTAACACAGATTCAAGCCAAGTACTCTGTCTCTCGTCCTCTCGTCTTCTGTCTCTCGTCCTCTCGTCTTCTGTCTCTCGCCCTCTCTCTCTGTCCCTTGCGGTCCCTCTACAGTCTCGACTCGTTAGCAACATTTAAAAACCTCTATGCTGTTCCACAGCATGTTCACGAAGCAGAATTCAGACACAGTTTTGGGATCTGATGTCATAAAAACCTCTCAGGCAGTGACGGAGGGTCGATTCTCACCACAAATCGTCAACGTGTTTTCCCGTCTGTCTTTCTCCGCAGGCGTAGACCAGCATGCCGTTGGTGAAGAGGAATATCGAGCCCAGGCACCTGTGCCGTGGGGCGCTGCCAGATGGGGTGACCAGTGAGCTGGAGTGCGTCACCAACAGCACCCTGGCGGCCATCATCAAACAGCTGGGCAGTCTGAGTGAGTTCTACGTTCATACAGATGTTGTCTTCAGCACATACACCAACAACCTCTCAGTCTGTCACCACACCCAAAAAAACACAGATTGTAAACTGTAAACAAGTTTCTCAAGATGTGAACGAGGCCACGTCTGCAGGCGCTGGTTCGATCTCTGCAGTTGGAGCCACGTTGAATCCAAGGTTAGATCTTACAGATACAATAACACAGACGTTAAGACGTTGCCAAAGTGCTCGCTGTGTTTCATTTTTATTATCGAGCCACAGTCTGATGAGTCAGCGTTCTGCAGCTCGCCGGGTCCAGATCCTTAAATTTCCCGTTCACTCTCTCAGTTGCTTCGTATCTGTGCATGTTCACACTGTCCTTCTCTTTGTGTGTGTGGAAACGTGAGAGCAGAGATCTTCACCGTGCTCCAGGAGACAGATCATTCAGAGGGAATGTAGATGTTTAAATTTGAATAACTGTCAGAGGCTAGAGTCAATCCGGCGACAGCTCAGTGCAAACGTGTGAGCGCTCTGCCTCTGCTCCATCTGTCACGATGTGGGCTGAAGTAGAGACGCTGAGCCGAGGCAGGAGTCGTGGATATATATGTGTGTGTGTGTGTGTGTGTTTGGAGTTGGCAGCGAGAATTGAAGGAGACTTCATTTCCACAATAGATCATAAATAAATCCGTCTCCGTCCAGGAGATTGTTGAGCGTTGGGTTCATCAGGTGCACGGCAGAGAGCAGCTCGTCCTGCTGAGACAGAGAGAGGAAGAGGAGGAGCAGCATCGACTGACCTTCATCTCTGTGAATGTATCTCTGCGGCGGTGGCAGCGAGCAGCCGGAGGCATTGACCTTTCTGTCCGACCGTCAAAGGTCAAGGTCACCGTGACTGTACAAGACACGTCTCAGGGAAATGTCATTACATCAAACACAGACAACCTGTTGGACGAGTGGAATTTGGTGGTCGAAGGTCAAGGACACTGTGACCTTGTGAACGTGTTCTCTCACGTCACAGTATCAGAGGTAACCGTGTGTGTGTGTGTGTGTGTGTGTGTGTGTGTGTGTGTGCAGGTCGCCATGCTGAGGACATTTTCGGTGAACTGTTTAACGAAGCCAACAGCTTCTACCTGAGGATGAGCAGCCTGCAGGAGCGGGTCGACCAGCTGGCTGTGAAAGTCACCCAGCTCGACTCCACGGTGGAGGAAGGTGGGTTTCAGTCTTCATCACCATCATCATCATCATCATCATCATTAATATTTGAATCTTCCTCATCACACTCAGTGGACTGACTCCTCGCTTTTCATTTCTCTGAATTCTCTTCATCCTTTAATCCTTTCTCTCTTTTCTGTGTCGATCAAACTCTCACACTTTCTTTCTCCATTCCTCCTCTCTCTCTCTCTCTCTCCTCCTGCTTCTTTTACCTTTTCCTCCATTTTCCTCTCTCCTTTTCTTACACTCCCTTTTCTTGCAACCCTCTCTCCTTCTCTTCCTCCCTCTTCCCCTCTGTCCTCGCTGATACTGCCTCGTCATTCTGCAGATCGGCTCGAGCAGCAGCACTGACGGGGATGAAAAGCAAACGATCAGCAGTCCTTTGTCTCATCCTCCTCTTCCTCCGCCTCCGCTCTTCCTCTCCCACTCTTCCTCCCCCGCATGCTCTCCTTTCATCTCCTCCTCTTCTGTCCATCTCCATGCCTCCTCCTCCGCCTACGCACCAGCCATTCGTCTGTTCTTCATTTCACACCACACACATTCGCTCACTCATCTGCCATCACTTTGCCGCGTTATTGTCTTCACACGAAGGCTACATTTCAAAATAAGAGCTGGGTTATACTCGTCTATCCTTTAAAAACGACAGATACAGTAACACAAGTCATGACAGACAATGAAGCTGCTTTCAGACATGAACATAACCAGAGGGGCCGTGCGTGACTACGTGAATGTCCACGTCAGTTTGCTCTTTGGTCGTAAGAGCTGATGAATGTTCTGGACATTTTCTTGACCCGGACAATCTGCGATCTTCGTATGTGAAAGTAAAGAACCTCAAATCTGCATCAAAGAACAAAGAAGTCTGAAATAATGTCAAACAAACGACCTGTCGAAGAAAGATCCTGGATCTAAAAGTGAATGGGTTCTTTTTTTAGCCCGTGTCCCATCATTCCACCGAATTTAGGGGCGATCACATCTGTAGCTTTTGTGTAATGTTGTAATCCTGTTCTCAAACAATGAAAGAAACACGTCTGAAAACATAAAGTCCTTGTCAGTAATTTACATTTTATCCATTACTTGGTGTTCTGCATTTGCAGACTTTCACCAGTGAGCACTTCCCTCGTTGGCTCGAGAGTTGAAACACTGCACGAAAACTGAGACTGTTCACTTCTTCAGTTTTCACGCTGCTGATTCGTGAAAATCACATTTTCACACTTGGTTCATGGGAAAACATCAACGCAGAGGCCGAGCGACCTCGTCATCTGACATAAATCATTTATTTAATGAATAAATGAATTCTTAACTTTACTTGGGTTCAAGGTAACCAGGTGTTTTACTGCACACACATTAAACCGATGATTAAAATCCTCGTCTCCACTGATGTCAGGTCAGTGAAAACCATGTAATGAGACAATCTATTACATTAATCTGGTCATTAGCAGCAATCAACATATTTGTTTGTGCAGAGAGGAAGAGGAATGTTAGAATCAGAGAGTAAATCCGATTAGAGACGGAGGACGTGTGTGTGTGTGTGTGTGT